GGGTCTGAAGTTCAGTTATACTTTGGCACTTCAGACATTTTGAACTGCATCGGGATTAACTCTGGTGCCGCACTTGGCTTGTATGGAAATTGAGTATACTTTTTCGAGTCCGGACCTTTCAGTACTGGTGGAGCGCACGGGATCTAGTCCATGCGGACGTTCACTTCCCTCATAAACCGTAAAAGTTCATTCTTGAAAGAATCATTTTCGTTGTTGAGGTCGGATCCGCTCCCCATGTCCCATCGGAGCCAATTTCACCCCTCGGAGTGTTGTTGCCGACCCTCTACGGTGTTTGATTCACGAGGACCCCGGGAGGAATCGAATCTCGTCTGTTTGCATTATTTGAAGCTCCCGACAGCGCCTGCTATAACTCCGTCATAAGCTTTTCCTGTCGCGTGAGGTGGTCTAGAATGATCGCCTATTGCTCTTGCAAGATCCTTACCGCGTCAACGACGTGTTCCTGATCAGCATCATCGGAAGTTGCCTCCCGAACATGTCGAGGATATTACCTGTCATGCACCGGTGTAGCGTCATTCCCCTCATTATGGGTGTCACTGATTGAGTCCTCGAAATGAGGTTGACCCTCTCGAATCTCGGGGTTGTGCATGTTGTTAACAGTATTATCTGCCATTTCTTATGATTTTTCCTAAGAAAATAATCAAAACACGTTAGTAAAAAAGGCAAGAATTAATTTAATTACATGGCTGTCTAGGCCCCACAGTGGGCACTAAATTATTTATCCGTAAAATAGTACAATTGAATTTATACGTGATTTCTAGACAAATGAATTAATTTGATCCAGAATTAATAAAATAATCGAAGAATTATGCAATACTTAGCCTTAGGATATAGACGAAACAGCAGAAGCAACAGTTCGGAGAACAGGATTTCCGGGCACAACAACAACGAAATCAAAAAGTAAGAAGATAAGATTGTATTGAGCTTTGTATAGAATGTAGCGTAAGTTTGCCAGAAAATTCGTGTCCTTTACAATGACAACTGAGCTCACTATTGATAGCTATGAAGGAGGTCCTAGGATCGTGCCCTTAACCGTGAACATAAATGTCAAATTCTCTGTAACGGGTAATTGCTCTTAAGGCCATGAAATATTCTCTATTAAATGCTATCGGGCAAAGAACATTTATCACATCTTTATGAACGTTATTCTTTCTGGTGACAAACGAAATAGTTGCCTTCGGTCTTTGGCCATCCCCGTCTTAGGTTCCACGTGTCCCTTTTTGGATGGCCACGTGTCATAGCATATTTTACCCTATACATAATTATTCCTTGTACCAAACAAGCATAAAGCATGGTATTACGATAATGGTTATTATTTATATAACTTGAATGGCAAATCAATTTTCCAATCGCTAGCTAGCAAAGAAAGTTTTATGATGAAATTTTGTCCTTATAAGATCTATAACCCTCTTTTTTTTTCTTATAAATTCTTTTGAGAAGGTTTTGAACACTATTGATACTAGAGCTGTCAATACGAGCTGGCTCAGTCCGGCCTAGCCCAGCCCACACGGGCTTTGACATTTGACGGGACTGGGTTGGCCGGCCCACTCTTTTGATGGGCCTTAAAATGGTCAAGCCCAACCCAGTCCTTCGTGGGTCATGAGCCTCCACGGGTCGAAATTATTTATATATACATACATACATACACACACAAATAAACAAGTCAAAAACATACTTGTTGGATAAAAAGTTTCTACAAAACTTAATAATTTTGACATTGTTCCAATAGATTACAATAAAATACAAAAAAGGAGGACAATATTTCATTTATTAAAAGCCAATACTAAAAATAAACTACTCAAAAATATTTTCCAACACCAACAGATCATCTTCGTCAAGTACATTTGAATCCTATTATTAAACAAAGATGCCATAGCATATTTATTTTTAGCTAAATATATAATTATATGCAATGTTAATTAGTTAAATATTAAGAAAAATCTAAAACTTTAAGAACAAAAAATATTTATATTCGTATAAAAAGTATTATCAGTTTGAGATTACACTACTCTTCTTGTTAATTTTGGCTCCCTATAATTTTTTATATTTTTGATTAACTACGTTATTAAACCCATGGGCCAACCTAGCCTAGCTTCGATCAAGCCTCATGGGTCACGAGCTTACTTGGGTCGGGATTAAAAGCCTCATTTTTAAATGAACTTCAAAAATCTTAGCTCAACCCTATTAAACCACAGGCGAGGTTGAGTCGGCCCAGCGGTACAAGCCCATATTGACGGCTCTAGTCGATACATAATGAAATGAGAGAAAAACATAAGTAGGCAATATTTAAGAAAACATTTCAGATACCTAGCACCAGGAGGTATTTTACAAAAGAGGCAGCTAAATAAATACATTCTTAGCATGAAGCTACAAATTATATGGACCAAGAATCACGTTCCAAAAATTTCCAGAGCATTCCAAAGCGATTACAATTCTTCTCTTTTAGCGGACACAACTTCCTAAATTAGCGCCGAACAATAACGAAGAGAACTCTTTAATTTCGCTTAAATTAGTAATTAGCTATGCGTTTTCTGTTGCTACATGCATATATAATATTAACGCACTCTGTTTCATTTGGGAAAACATATCTTACAGTTATTTTCGAAAACATTTATGTGTCTTACTTGTTGCAAATTAACACGTCCGTGCAAGTTTTTGTCAAACAATGTCGAATTGTACATTATGCATGTGTACATAAATAGTATAATTATATATATTATTGGTATAAAAATCTATTTTTAATTGTATGTCAACATAACTTTTTACACAGTAAGTATAATAATGGTATTAAATAGTTTATAAATTACAATGGTCTTTTTAGTATATTAATATACGGAGTATAGTGAATACTTCAGCCATTGTATGTATATATTGTATTTTAATGTAATAATAGTAGATAATTAAATATATACATGAAACAAGTATATACATGGTATTGTAATAGTATACATATATATGTATATAATATGTATACAAGTGGTATTTAATATATATATATATATATATATATATATATATATATATATATATATAGAGAGAGAGAGAGAGAGAGAGAGAGAGAGAGAGAGAGAGAGAGAATGAAAATAGAAGAAAAAATATTATCACAAATTATTTAAAATACATATCGTCTTCTACTGTTGCATTATATACTAACTCTTTCAAGGTTGTGTTTCAACCAATTTAACTTACAATATTACATTATAACTTATTTTACTCTATTTTTCGGATATCCTTTGCCAGCAACATTATGCTTATGAAAATAAATTTATGAATCCTAAGAATCTATCAACTTGAAAAATTAATTTTACTTATATGATGAATTTGAAAGAAAAAAAAAACTAAATTGATTTTTTTGCTAATTATCTAAATCAAAGACTTAATTATCTGTTCTAACTAATTTAATTCTTGTCGATTCAAATTCTTAATATTATCTCATATTAATTTTTAATATTTAACTGTAATTATAATTATATATAATAAAAGTTTAATTATTTTCAAACGGTAAAATATTTTCTTAGTTATTTCTCCTAATTGTTGAATGTAATTTCAAATATCATGCAACAAGTCGACGAAGGGACAAAATATTGTTTGAGTAGGAAATTGTGTTCAAACATAATATAAGAGGTATAATAATTCACATTCAAAAGTAACATAGAAGGAATTATAGTTATGTTATATTGCTCAAATAAAAAATTATTTATATTAGATATAATTTAAATTGATTATAAAAGTCTTACATATTGAAAAAGATCCCTACACTATAGTTATGTCGGTTACTACTTACTCCTCAGTTGATAGTGAATGTTAGGCCAAGACCTGGAATATTTACGTGGTAATCCTTCAAATCTTAATTAGTTACTTATTTCAACACTAAACAATATTTTTAAAACTCAAGGTATTATAACATAGAAAACCAAATAAAAAGAAAAACCAAAGATCAAAACTTTATTTTCTTTGGCTACTGCATACCGAAGAAATAATACATAAAAGGGATTCGTAGAAATACTTTTTTATATTTCTTATTTTTAATTATTTGTATTCTACAATCACAAGTCAAATTGAACACTAATAAAAGTTTATTACTCTAAAATTATTTGTGAAACACACTGACCTTTTAAAGGTTATCTCATACATATTAGGAAATCTTATTTCATTTACCTTTTGAAAGTACTAAATATTAAGACTTTTTACGCAGTTAAAACAAGAAAAAATTTATTAGTTGATTTTAAAAATATTAAATATTAAGAAAGTAATTAATAAATGACAATTTGTATTCTACAATCACAAGTCAAATTGAACACCAATAAAAGTTTATTATCTCCAGAATTATTTGTGAAACATACTGACATTTTGAAGGTTATCTCATACATATTAGGAAATCTTATTTTATTTACCTTTTGAAAGTAGTAAATATTAGGATTTCTTAAGCAGTTTAAACAAGGAATAATTTATTAATTGATTTTAAAAATCTCAAATATTTAAAAAGTAATTAATAAAATATTTCGGTAAAAGAGTTTGTGCTTTCGTTATAGTATGGATAGATATAAATAGATAAGAAAAGGTATAAGGTAATTTAAATTTTCTTAAAGTATAATTTTTGTTGATTTTAAAGTGCTAAGTATTAAGAAAATAATTAAATTATAATTTTATTCAATATAAATTCTTAAATATTATTTAAAGTAATAAATATTACAAACTTATCTAGTACAGACCTATTTATTTGTCGGAATAAAATAGTACTTTTACATATTGATAAACGTTGTTACGTTGTAAAAAATCAATTTCTTTTTTCACCTCTATTTGAGGAAAGAGCAAATCATATTCTTTTCTCCAAATTCCTTTTATTATTGATAATCAATATGGAAACATGTAAATTTATAGTAACCGTATCATTCTGTGCTCACGTTTTTTTGTGGCCAAATTGAGCGCACAGTAGGCAAGCATCATTCCCACAATATAGAAAACAAACAAATATACTGCCCTAGAAATGAAATATTAAATCCATAATAGCTTTCAAAATCCCAAAATTTTGAAGTACAATAATATAGCAATAGATAACAAACATGATGTTAACATAAGAAATAAGCTGCCATGAATCCTCTCCAAAACCTAAGAGTATGTAAAGACAGTAAAGTAGACAATACAAATAGTGAACTAAGCCAAAAAAATATCCAGAGATTCATATGGTGATCAAGGTTCGATCACTTCCTCTCTCTAGCACCAGCTCTCGGCGTGGTCTTAGCTAAAGATTACTACGTCTTACTGGTGATCAAGAAACTTTTACTTTCTCTCCGTCAGCTTCCTTGACGGTCCTGATGATATTTCACTGTTACCCTTGGCACTGAACAACGACCAACAGGAAACAGTGATACCATCACATTCTAATATAACACACACAGAATATCTGCTTCACTCACCCAATCCAGCCCTCTTTTTCAAGTGTTTCTTGAAGTCCATGATATCACCCTCCCACCGTGTAACAGCCTGATTTTCACATACCCATATCTCATGGGCAACCTGGTTTATGAGCCTAAAATCATGACTAACTAGAACCATCCCACCATCCCATTCATTCAATGCCTCTGCAAGTGAGTCAATTGTCTCAATATCAAGATGGTTGGTTGGCTCATCCAACAGCAGCATGTGAGGTTGCCTATAAGCCAACCATGCAAAAATCACCCTACTACGTTGGCCATCGGACAAGTTCTTCATAGCCATTACTTGAGCTTTACCTGTTAGGCCAAACCTCCCAATTGCTGCCCTCATCTTCTCCTCCTCATTCCCAGGGTACTCTCTCATCATGTACTGAAGAGCAGACATGTCCATGTCTAGCTTCTCAGCCAAGTGCTGGTGGTACTGTGCAATTTTAAGGTGATTATGCCGCTTAACCATGCCATCAGTGGGGAATAAATCCCCTATCATCAGCTTAAGCAGTGTGCTCTTTCCAGCTCCATTAGGCCCCACAAGTGCTATCCTGGAATCAAGATCTACACCAAAATCAAGGTTCTTGTAGATGAGGTTCTCAGGTGTGTAGCCAAATGCGACTTCCGAAAACTGTAAAACAGGAGGAGGAAGTTTGCCAACATCAGTAAACCGGAAAACCAAGACACTGTCCCTCCCCACCTTCTCTGTAAGCCCACCACGCTCCATCTTAGCCAATGTTTTTTCTTTACTCTGTGCTTGACGGGCTAGCTTAGCTGAACCGTGTCCAAAGCGAGCAATGTACTCCTTCATTGAAGCAATCTGCTCCTGCTCCCACTTATACTGTTTCATCTGGTTCTCTTCTAGCTCTGAACGGGTTTGAACATATTGGTCGTAGTTTCCTGTATAGAGCTTCAATTTCTTGTTTTGCATGTGGATGATATTGGTACATACACCATTGAGAAAATCCTGGGAGTGTGAAATGACAACCAGAATGCGCTCGAAATTCTTCAAGGATTCTTCTAACCACACACAGGCCTCTAGGTCTGTGTTCAGGAAGAAGAATAACACATGTCAACTCTAAAAGAGCCGTCATATAGGACTACACATTATTCATAAATCTAGCAAGGGCAAAACCCTAACAGTTAAGGAAAGATCTACTCTACTAGAAAATGTAAAGAGAAGATTACCAAGATGGTTTGTCGGTTCATCAAGCAACAAAATTGTTGGATTCATAAATAGGGCTCGCGCAAGAGAAATCCTCATTCTCCAGCCACCGGAGAAATCACATGTTTTCTTTGCTTGCATTTTCTTATCAAATCCAAGACCAAACAAGATCTCAGCAGCGCGTTTCTCAGCAGTTGCTGCATCCATAGCTTCTAAACGCTCATAGATCCGTTCAAGTTGCTCTCCACCACCATCATCCTAAAATACAAACAAAACTAACCATATTATCCAAAGAAAACCAAGACCTTGGAGCATTAATTTAATGTTAACAGCATTATACCTGTCCAGCCAAAGCTTCAGCTTCTTTCTCCAATTTCAACCTCTCTTCGTCACAATTAATGACGGCCTCAAGAGCAGACATGTCAGAGGCATCAATCTCCCGTGAAAGATGAAAAATATCCATGTGCTCTGGGATGGGAAGTTCCCGAAGCCCTATAGCGGTAAGAAGAGTAGATTTCCCGCAGCCATTCAGTCCCAACAACCCATAACGTCTGCAAAAATAAGAGGTCAGAACTTTAACATCAATTAAGATACACAATAATACAAGAAATTAACAAGTTTTACCTTCCATAGTTGAGCTCCAGTTCAGAATCAACAATGAGATCATGTCCGTGGAAGGTGACTGATAAAGATTGTATCTGTGACACAAAGAGTACCAAAACAATGATATCCCCAAATAAAAGGAAGAATCCAAAGGCTCTGCATTATAATCTTCAGCTTCTTCTCAGTGATAGACTAATTACTCTTAATAACAAGTATATACTATAAATGTGCATGCCTCTTGACAGCAATATGCAACTTCTGTTTAAGACTAGTTCTTCTACACCAAGGTGAATAAAACAATGTTGGAATATTACTTAGTGCAAAAACACCATGGAAAGTCACCATAGGATGCACAAAAAATGAGGAAAACAAGCCGAGGCCTAATAAATATCACAAAATTTTGTCAACTCAAATAATGATGGAATCTGGGACTCTGAAAAGAAAAAAAATATAATAGCACATTATTTACCCTATGCATATGCGAGCTGACACAATTCAATGTAAAAACACATAGTTCTATAAGTTCAGAAATAGAATGAAATGGGTCCAGATAGAGCAGAATGGACACCATGGAATCATAAAGCCTACGCCAACTACTTTGGTTTTGATCCACACTTATTATCACACGCTTCCAGAAATTTGGAGGTCTCTGTCTTGAGATACAGACATGTTGATCACTTTAATATTACCAGTCATACCAAGGGGAGGGAGGAATAAAGCTAAGGTTCCTTTTATTTAAACATATATAGCTCTAATGCAAACCCAATAAACCTATCAAGGAGATTAAATTAAAAATAGCCTGAAAACCAAAATAATCCAATTCACTTTTTTTCTAAAAATAGGAGAGATGAATTTCACACCAACTCCTTCATCTAAAACTTTGCGCAGCATTTCAATATGCAACCAGATAGTGAGCCAGAAGAACCCATAAACCCCTAGCAGATATTCTATATCTAACCACCAAGATAAGAACTACAAAACCTAACAACAACTCAATTTCAAACAAACTGGGGATATATGAATCCTCACTGACGACATTGAACCATTTAAACTCATCTCAAGTGAATATTATGCCTAGGACGCATAGGATCTAGAGTAAAAGTGCTAACAAGTCTAAAGCAAGTTCTCAACTAATAGGCATTGCCTATATAGATCTTTTTCTACTGTTTAGCCCTATCTTTCGCTAAGTATGCATGAATTCCGAGAGATTGTAGGTCTTTCAACCAGGGGTAGAGCTACAAGCCCAGATACGGATTCGACTTAACCCAGTAGCTAGCAGTGTATTTGTGTTAAGAAAGTCATTAAATATGTACAAATAATAAATTAGGAACGCAGTATTAGAGCTCCAAGCCATTCTAAAATGCAGAACTCATAAAGTTAAAATCCTGGTTCTGCCTTCGACACAACTACACAATCTAACAATTTTTTTACGTTACAAAGACGAACATGTAATTACAATATTCTATTATGCACAACATCAAGAACAATAACGAATCGAAAACCAACAGATACTTGAGAAATCAGAAAGTACAAAAATCAGATCTAAAACACGAAACTAACCCGAATATCCCTGGAAAGGGGATGCGAACACAAAACACCAGTGCAATTTCGATCAGATATGTGAAGATCCCCCACTCCGTTCGTCAAATTATCGACCCCGTTGGTCTCTGGTGCCGCTTTGGATGCGGTCGCCGCCGCCTTGGATGACGCGGCTGCACCCTTTCCTCCTCTCCTAGCAGCTGCCGCCGCCTTCTTCTGTGCATCTCTCTTCTTTGCCGCATCCGACACCATCTATCAAAAAAGCAAACAATTTCGCATAAGAAAAAAAAATTGACAATAAAATAAAAATAGATTTGAACTGAAATTAAATCAGGAAACAAACAATACCTTGTGAAATTGAAGATCTCAGGTTTGGGGAGATTAAGGGTAGCGTAGGGAGTGGGAAAAAGTATCAGATGTAGCTTTGTTTGGTTATTCTATTTTTCCTCGGACTGCAGCTGCTGAGGAGAAAGAGGAACCCGAGAATGAGGGTTTTTGGAGAGGGTCTTGAGGAAAAGTTGGAGTGATATATTTATACGAGGTGTATGGTTAAAGAAAGGGTGCACGTTGACGGTTAATGGATATCCGAGAATAAATTTGGACGGTGATGCTTTCACCTTGGGAAGTTGCCACTTGCTTTGCTTTAGGTTAAAGTTAGAATTTGCTTTGGATTTGTCTGTTTTTGGGTTTGGGTTGGCCTAATTTCACTTTGTTAGGTTTTTGTACATGACGAAAATGAGTATTAAATTTGGCCTATTGGCCCATATGCCACTCTAACATTATAGAAAATGAGTTCTAATTTGCACATCTACTATCATAAATATGTCTTATTTATTCTCCGTTTAAATTTTTTATCAAAAATATACTTACCATTATACATTACGTTCATATTTACTCATTACACGTTAAAACGGGATACATTTGCCATTTGTTATACTTAGGATCATATTTACCCATTTACTCTTCAAAAAGGGTTACATTTGCCCTTCGTTATACTTTTTTGACATATTTATCCTTACAATTATACCTTAGGATCATATTTGTCCCTCATATGTTAGATCGACATGTCCCACCTTTATTTTCCTACATGGCGCCTGTGTGGATTTCTTTTTCTTCCAATTTAAATATGGTCACCTATTAAAGATAATTTAACTCGCCCACNCCACTCGTCCATCTCTCTTCTCCGGATCAGCTCCATATTTTTCGGAGAGCGAGAAAAATTTGGAAAGTGAGTGAAGGAAACTATGGTGTTATCTCTAATTGATTTATTTAATTATTTCACCTTTGTGTATGTTAATTTGTTTCCCTTTAATACTTAAGAGTTAGGATACATGAATCAATGATGTTTTAAAGTGTTTGTAGAGATACAACTCTGTAAAGTCTAAATTGGGTCAATTGACCATGATTGATCCACGAAAAGTAATTTTCTGATATGACATTTATGAAGATTGTGCGAAATACAATAGTTATAGCAACGACAACATATTGACAAACAATATCTTTGAACTCAAAATCACTAATCTAATACAACTCACAATTATTGCAGTAACCAAAGTAAATTACGAGAAGTTGCATAACAATGGAGTTAATGAAGTCTTATTTAAATTAGGTGGGCGGGTTAAATTATCTTAAATAGGTGACCATATTTAAATTGGAAGAAAAAAAATTCACATAGGCGCCATGTACTAAAACAAAGGTGGGACATGGCGATCTAATGTATGAGGGGCAAATATGATCTTAAAGTATAATTATAAGGATAAATATGTCAAAAAAGTATAACGAAGGGCAAATGTAACTATTTTTTAAGAGTAGAGGGGTAAATATGATCCTAAAGTATAACGAAGGGCAAATATAATCTGTTTTAACGTGTAAGGGGTAAATATGAACCTAATGTATAATTGTAGGGATATTTTTGATAAGAAAATTTAAACGGAGGATAAATAAGGCCTATTTATGATAGTAGAGGGGCAAATCAGACCCTTATCCGAAAAATGAATGGTAGTGTGTCAAAGAATTTGTATTTTTTTAGAATTGTTGTGTTCATGTGAGCCTGTACACACTTTGATTATTCTATGAGTGCAACAAAAATAATAATGTAATATAGGGATGATAATGTACGCAAACTTTACTTCTACCTTGTGAAGGTAGTAAGGTTGATCTGATAGGCTTTCGGCCAAAAAAAAAAGTATAGTCATAATATTTTCTTTTCGTTTTTTTTAAATGAAGAAATACAAAAGTGTATAAGCCATGAAAAAAGGACGCATTAACAACAACAAGATAATAAGGTAACTAAAGCAAGAGAAAAAATAAGTTGTAATAAAAATCTAAGAATAAAAAAATACAAGAATAATATTAATATTACTAGTTTAGAAAGGAAATACGATCGATTGTCTACTAAACTTCTATTCTAATTCTCGATCTCCACATCCTCCTATCGATTGTCTATTTTTGAGGATTTGAACATGATTATTCATATTTCTCAACTCATTTTATTGACCATTAAATCACATCTTTGGAGCAAGAACTATATATTTTCATATGACTTCAAAGGTTACAGATAATTTTGTATAGTAAATATGAATTGATAATCTTTAAATAGAGTATAGCTTGCATGTAACAGTATATTAAGTCTTATGAACAAACTAATTATGTTGATAAAAACTTGAATACACCTTACATGTCATTAAACATAATAGTTTGGATTCAAATGTACTTGAGGAAATCTTAGTTATCTCACGATCATTGGCTTACTGCTGCCCATTTAAATATTCTTTTTTATTCCATGTAAAATAACAAAATGAAAAGAGGGTTGGGTTGGGTTGGGGGTGGGGGTGGTGAGTGCATAAACGAAATTCAAAAATAGCAAGATTTATAAGTGGTAATTGAAAAATAGCCACAGTTTTAAAATTAATCGAATTTTAGCCACTTTTCATGTAAAGATAAATCTGAACGAAAACACTGTTCGAAATCCGAAAAATATTCCAGCATAATATCTGGAGTTCTAGTATATTATACTGGTCCAGCATAATATGCTAGAAGTTCATACACAAGTGCTCCAATCTCCAATATATTATGCTGAAACTTTTCGCGTGTTAGAGTTCCAACATAATAGCCTTGGGTAGTTAGGGGTCATTCTGCAATTTAGAGAAGTTAGAAGGGCAATTAGTTAAGGGGGTTAGATTTTGTTATAAAAGCACTGTTGAGTGCCCAAATGTAACTAACACAATTCATTTTGTCTAATACACGATCATTTCTTCCTCTCTTCCTTCTTCTCTCCTCCGTACAGAATCAGTGCCCTAGATAGCTATGGTGCTCATCTAGCATGCATGTTGCTCGATTTTCTTAGCTTAGAATTCACAAATTAACATGGTATCAGAGCAGTGCTCGTGAAATTAGAGTGTTCTCCGACGAGTTCACAGCGAGATTCCGACGAATTGACATAATTACTAGAAAATTGACAGTGACGAAACTCAAAACCTATAAAAATGACAGGAAATGAAGTAACGCATCTAGAACATAACCACCGTTGTTTCTCCAGGCGTCAGATGATCTGGGACTAGTTCTAGTGCCAATTAAGCTCACACGGCCAGGAAATTATGCATTGTGGAGCAGTGCAATGAAACTAGCCCTTAGGGGAAAGAGCAAGCTTGATTTTGTAGACGGAAGTTGTGTGAAAAACACGTATAGAGGTGAATTAGCAGAGCAATGGGAAAAATATAATGCGATTGTGTTGTCATGGATATGTAGTACGGTTGCGAATGAATTGATACCAAGTATCATGTTTGCATCGAGTGCAAAGAAGGTGTGGAGTGACTTTAAGAAAAGGTTTGACAAATGCAGTCTAACTAGGATCTATCATTTGTGGACATAAATTGCATCATTAAGACAAGGTACGGATTCTGTAACCACATACCATTCAAAAATGAATAATTTGTGGAATGAATTAGACATACTAACACCAAAATCATGTTGTGATTGTGAGGAATCTAGACCATCTCTTGAACATCTATCACATCAGCATTTATTACAATTTCTTATGGGTGTGAATGAAAGCTATAGTAATATGAGGAGTAATGTATTGATGAAGAGGCTTGTAGTCAGTGTGAATGAAGCCTATACCATAGTGACTCAGGAAGAGAGTCGAAGAGCTCTAGGAGTAGCTGATGTGAACAAAGATCCACTTACTATGATGGCAGGGAGGCCTCAATATAACAAACCTAAGAAGATAGGAATGGTATGTGAACACTGTGGTTATAAAGGTCACTTAAAGAAAAATTGCTACAAAATAGTAGGATATCCAACAGATTTTAAGAGCAAGAAGAAGACTCATGTTGCAGGAGGAGGCAGGACATTTGCTAGCAATACAAATGCAGAAGATACCAACAACTTTGAGGGTCAACCACAAGGACATTACCTGACACAAGAGAAATACCAGCAACTAATAGGATTGCTAAACAAACCTACAGGTGCAGAGTGTTCCACAAACATGGCAGGTATTGTTTCATTAATGTCCAATGCCACAGAATATGATTGGATAGTGGATACAAGTGCTACTCATCATATAACCTGTAATAAAGATTTGCTAGATACACTTAATATCATAGATGAATATAGAAGTGTACAACTGCTAACAGGGAAGACTTCAAACATTACCCACACAGGAAATGCAAAGATTCTAGGAAACCAGAAAGTGAAGAATGTCCTCCATGTACCAGATTTTAAATTTAATCTGCTATCAGTGTCAAAGCTCACCAAATACCTCAGCTGTATAGTTGCCTTTTCCCTGATTTCTATGTGTTGCAGGGACTTTACAGTGGCAAGGTATTGGAGATTGGTAGAGAACACGAGGGATTGTACATAATAAAATCGAGAAAACAAGGCATTAGTGGCATGAACAATTACAAAGGAAAATGCAGAAACAGTCTTATGGCATTACAAAATGGGACATGCTTCAATAAGATTTTTGCAGCACTTGTCAGCATTGAAGAATAAAATCAGCAGTATAGAAACAGGAAATTGTGATGTATGCCCTCTTGCAAAACAGTGTAGGCTACAATTTCCAACTAGTGTTTCAAACTCAGTTATTATCTTTCAACTTCTTCATTTAGATGTTTGGAGACCATACAAGGTTCCAACCTATGACAAGAAATAATATTTTGTTACAATAGTAGATGATTACAGTAGATACACCTAACATGTCTAATAAAGTCAAAGTGTGAAGTGTGTGTAGATTTGAAAAACTTTCTGCTGATAATAAACAATCATTTTGGTGTCAATATCAAGTACTTGAGATCTGACAATGGAACAGAATTCTGTAATACACAATGTAATAGCTTGTTGGCTTTTTATGGTATTATTCATCAAACTAGTGGTCCCTATATACCACAACAAAATGAAACTGTAGAAAGAAAGCACAGGCACATCTTAGAGGTGGCTAGAGCTTTGAAATTTCAAAGTGGAGTCCCCATAAAAATTTTGGGGTGATTGTATTAAGACTGCAGTCTATGTGATCAATAGACTACCTACACCAGTTCTGAAAGGAAGAACTCCATATGAGCTGCTGTATGGGAAAGAGCCTAAGGTGGATCACATGAGGGTATTTGGTTGTCAATGCCATGCAACAACCTTGCCCAAGGGAGATAGGTTTGCACCCGGAGCTAGGAAGGCAGCGTTCATTGGCTACTCAGAAACACAAAAGGGATATAGACTATATGATATTGAACAAATATCCTTTTTTGTAAGCAGAGATGTAGTATTTCAAGAAGGCAGATTCCCTTTCAAGGATACAATAGTTGAAGCAGATGACATGTTTCTTCAACAGCCCATTTCAGCAGAAGAACACATTCCTAGCTCACGACCTATACAAGCTATGAGTTAAGAAGACACTACTTTACATATGAATCAAGATAACATTGATTCACTTGCAGGTGCTAATGAATCTGAAGAAGTAGAACTAATCTCTACAACACTGGAGCAGTTGACCTTACCAGACACTCAAGGTTCAACATTAGGTGAAGTTTCAGGAGAGGTTGCTCCAGTTGGGCCAGTATCTGCACCAAATGCAACTGACTTACCTACACAACCAGCTCTAAGAGAATCCAAAAAGACAATTTCTCCCATATGGATGAAAGACTATGTGACTTTTACAAAGTTGTCTGGAAGCTGCAGGTTTCCCACAACATATCAAGCCTATTTACAAGCTTTTTCAGTCCTAGTGGAACCTAGATCCTTCAAAGAAGCAGCACAGGATCCACAGTGGATAAAGGCAATGGAACATGAGATACAAGCACTAGAAGACAATCATACGTGGGAAATTGTCGACCTGCCCATTAGGAAGCAAGCCATAGGCTCCAAATGGGTCTACAAAATAAAGTACAAGGCTAATGGAGAGATGGACATGTTCAAAGCTAGATTGGTGGCTAAAGGTTACACACAACAAGCTGGATTGGATTATCATGAGACTTTCTCACCTGTAGCTAAAATGGTTACAATGAGAACAATTATCGGTGTTGCTGCTTCCAAGGGTTGGCCTTTATTTCAAATAGATGTCAACAATGCCTTTCTCCAAGGTGACCTCACTGAAGAAGTCTATATGGATTTACCTCTAGGATTTCACAAACAGGGGGAGTATAAGGTGTGTCGATTGTTGAAATCCCTCGATGATTTGAAACAAGCCTCGAGGCAATGGAACATTAAGCTTACAAATGCTTTGCTGCAAGCTGGATACTCTCAACGCTCATTTGATCATTCACTATTTACCAAGAAAAATGGCAAGAACATTGTGATCATCTTAGTGTATGTGGATGATTTGTTGATAGCTGGGAATTCTCATAGTATGATTGCATAAGTCAAGCAGACTCTTCACCACAATTTCAGAGTAAAAGATTTGGGGGAACTTAGATATTTTCTTGGAATAGAGGTCTTAAGATCACAAGGAGAAATTGTATTGAACCAGAGAAAATATGCCATGAGGCTTATTTCAGAGGCAGGTTTGAGTGGTTGCAGGCCAGTTGCAACTCTAATGGAACTAAATCATAAGCTAACTACTGTGGAATATGACAACCATGTTGGGAACACATGAGATAAGATATTGAAGGATGCTGGAAGCTACCAAAAGTTGATAGGAAAGCTGCTTTATTTGACCATTACAAGACCCGATATAAGTTTTGCTATGCAAGTGTTGAGTCAATTTATGCAGAATCCTAAAAAGATCACATATGGATACAGCCTTGAGAGTGGTGAGATACATCAAGGGATCTCCAGGCTTGGGTATATTACTGAAGAAAGGTGAGGCACACAACTTAACAGTGTTTTGCGATTAAGATTGGACAGCTTGTCCAAATACTAGAAAATCGACCACATGGTACATTGTCAAACTAGGAGACTCATTGCTATCCTGGAAGTCAAAGAAGCAGCAAACAATCAACAGAAGCTCAGCAGAAGCATAATATAGAAGCATGGCTGCAGCAGTCGCATAGGCAGTATGGATGGTTGGATTATTGGAAGAACTGGGTAACAATGTGATCAAACCAGTGCATTTATATTGTGACAGCAAAGCTGCTTTGCAAATAGCAGCCAATCCCATATTTCACGAGAGAACCAAGCACATAGAGATTGATTGTCATTTTGTAAGGGAAATGATCAAGACATGGCTCATCACCACTGAATATGTATCCACCAAACAACAATTGGCAGATTTAATGACCAAAGGTTTGGGAGATGCTCAGCATCATCTCTTGTTGTCCAAGCCGAGAGTGTTAGATGTCTTCCACTCTCCAGCTTGAGGGAGAGTATTGAAGTGCAAGAATGTAGCCTTGGGTAGTTAGGGGTCATTCTGCAATTTAGAGAAGTTAGAATGGCAATTAGTTGAGTGCCCAAATATAACTAACACAATTCATTTTGTCTAATACACGATCCTTTTTTCCTCTCTTCCTTCTTCTCTCCTTCTTACAGAATCAGTGCCCTAGATAGCTATGGTGCTCATCTAGTATGCATGTTGCTCGATCTGCCTAGCTTAGAATTCATAAATTAACAAATATGCTGGAAGTTCATACACATGTACACTAATTTTCAGTACATTATGCTGGACCGATCCGTGTTGCAGCAAAATAGTGGCTATTTTTTAATAATTTTGCAAACGCTGGCTATTTTTGAATTACCGGTCCGAAAATTGGCTAGCTCGTACTATTTTTACCATAAACAATCATTGTTCAGGATATTTGTGCCCCAAAAAATTAAACTAAAAAATTAAAATTCATGACATATTGACTAATTCCTAAATAGTAGTTCTTTAGAATGGTTACCTGATGTTATTTCTATGGAAAACAAAGAGAAATCTGGGTCGAAATCTTAGAGGGGCTAGCGAATATGGGCTTTAAACCAAAATGGAGCCCACGAACCCATATTGCAGGACCCAAGTCATTTTTCTGCAACCGTGAGCAAAAGTTCTCGGAGTCTTAAGCCTACAGCAATTGCCATTCTCTAAAACTACTTCTCGAGCTTGGAATCAAATTTTCATGGTAAATCTCTCTCCTTTTCTTTGTTTCATTTTCTTCCTTGTCCTAAAATGCATTTGTTCCAAATAAAAAAAATTCAAGCTTCACTTTAATGAAATGATTTCAATGGAAAAGTAGCTCTATTCTTTCAATTTTTTATACCCATTTGAAAATTAATAAAGAGATGAAATAAATTTACGCTCTTTTTGATCATGAGTTCCAAGTTGGGGCTGCTTAACACGTAGCTAAGACACACAATTTTCTCAATAAGTGCAAACTCTTATGAAGTTTGCTTTTCCTTTTTTACTTTTTTTTTAATTTGTGATTTAAATACTATGATTTTTTTTAATTATTGTTTGGTGGTGATTGTAAGGTAATTGTTTCTATGCTCTATCAATTTTGTGTTATGTGGAAAAGTTCAGATATTTGGAGAGCAATCTAGCATTAGGGCAATGATTATTTACTGCTAGAAAACCTTACCTTTGTCTTCCTAATTACATTAAGAATGTGGGAATTAAAAAGATGTTAACTATATTGCTCATATTTTACTGTGATGAAGACTTTTTGAGTATTCTCAGTCCTTTTTTTTTTTTTTTTTTTGCAAAATTGCTATTACTTTCTTGTGCCTAGAATTTATGTAGTTTCGTTCCATTACCTGCAATCACCATATAAAGAGGAAAAAATTGAACTCATTTTATGTTTCATTAGAAGAAAAAAGGGTCTATTACCTCTTTGCTAGAGATGCTAATTTTACTTATGCTTTTTACCAATAGAACTTCCTTTTTATCAGATCCGATTTTTAAAAATATGACGTTGCTGAAGAGGTATGTGTTGAGATTGTTCATTTCGTTGAAATACATCACTGCAAATGTGGTAGACAGAAACAACGGACGAATAGTAGCAACAGCATCAACAGTAGAACATTCAATGAAACAGTCACTAGAGTGCGGTAGAACTTGCAATGCAAAGGCTGCAGCAGTTGTCGGAGAAGTGTTGGCAATGCGGCTCAAAGTGGAGGGTCTTGATCAGGGACAAGGAAACGGTATCCATGTCAATGTAAATAAGGAGGTTGAGAAGAAAGGTTTCAAGAATCAGACAAAAGTTTGGGCTATAGTTAACGGCCTTAAGAACAATGGAGTGAAACTTATTTTGGATGACAATATAAATGGTAGTTCTCGCCCCAGCTACCACTAAACAATCCCCTTCTTGCACACTCTTAAGGTATAAAGGGTGAATATTATCTCATATCAGTAGAAAATTTTGTGCTAACTATGTAGTTGACTCTAAAGTTAACATGGTACTCTTTTACAGCAAAGTTTGCAGTTGTCATATATTTTGTATAACAGATGATTTTCTTTTCCTGAGTGGACGAGAATTTTGTGCTAGCTTTATTCTCAATCATTTCTGTATCTTTTGTCAAAGCACTCTCTTTACATCATCTAGATCCAATTGACTCATTAAAAGTTACAAGCCGGAGGGTAATCATATTACAGTTTTCTATTTGTTGTTTCTCTCATCTTCGGCTATCTTATCATCTCGCATGTTGTTGCTACTGCTTGTGTTACTGCTTCCTTTTGCATCTTTCCTTGTGCCGAGGGTCTATCGGAAACAGCCTCTCTACCCTCACAAGGTAGGGGTAAGGTTTGCGTACACACTACACTCCATAATCCCTGGGTAAGTTGTTGTTGTAGTCATTGTGGTAGTGTTGGAAATTTCTCTTTGGGCATGGCTTCTTTAATTTAAAGAGGCAATTTAAGAAATACTCATCATCAAAGACGAGATTTGTGGTGAATTATATAGCCTAAAGTGTAATTTGCATACTTAAAAAACAGTTTGATTCTCTTTCCGTCATCTGTACTTCATATATAACAAAACTTTCACTCGGTTCCTTTGCTTTGCTCTTTCGCAGACTATAATCTCAATAACAAGAGTTGAAGAAGATGGGAGTGATGTGCCTGGTTATGGAGATGACGAGAAGGGACAGAATAAGATGAAGAAGTGCTCGAAATGGTTAGCTGGAAACAGGTTTGAGGCTAAATTTTCATGTTGGGAAAAGATGGACACGAAAACAGGACATTTCATCTTTCTCTTTTTCTTGCTACTGTTTTTACCAGTTTGTTCAGCGTCTATAAGTTTTCTGTCTTTAAGTTAGCTGAACTCAAAGAAATTGTTGTATCCAGTTTTAGAATCTGTGTTGTAAATTTGTACATTATTAATTAGTGAAAACAATAGATGGCCTTATTATGCATAGTTGGTGTTTTAGGTTTTACACTCATTGTCGAGAGCTTATGCATGACTGGCTAATGTGTCAAGAATTTGAAAATGAGACCTAAACATCTCAGAAGAGACAAACTGTATTTGTAAAGGTGAGGAGTTTGAAGATTGGAAGTAAAATTGGAGAAAAATAGGTGGTTTCTCTCTTTTGATTAACAAAAGCAGAAGAATAAAGAGTAAAGTAAAATGAAAAAGGTTGGGTATCTCTCTGCATCAATTTATTCAACTCATCCGGAACTGGGTGGGAAAGAGAGATTAGCAAACAAAAAGGGCAGCCCAGTGTTCGGGAAGGACTGCACTATAGGAGAGTGCGATGTAGGCAGTCTACCCTGACGCTTTATGTAGGCAGTCTACCCTAACGCAAGCGTCAATAGCTGATTCGAAGTCTCGAATCCATGATCTATAGGTCACGTTTTAAGATTTCCCTACCGTGGTTATCAAACCCAGAAAAGTAAATCATCAATGTTTTAACTAAGAGAAGTAGATCACTTAGTTCCTCTTTCCTTCTACTCTCCCACTCTTTTATAAGAATCAAACGTAGTGATTTTATGGTCTGTTTGGCCAGGCTGGAGAAACCAGCTTATTTTGAGAAGTGTTTTTTTCAAAAATATTTTTGAAAAAAGTACTTGGAGAGAATCAGTTTGTGTTTGGCTAATCACCTTAAAAAGCACTTTTGAGCAATAATTTGTGTTTGGCCAAGCTTTTCAGAAAGTGCTTTTAAGTATCAAATTACGAATAAGGACATGAATAGATTTACTTAATAGTTAATATTATAAGTAAATAAATAATCTTAAAAAATTATTATTACAGGCAATAATTAAATCTTTTCATTTTATTTAAGTAAAATATGAAAATAAAATTTAAAAGTACTTAATTCTTTTAATATAAGTTAAATATATTAAAAATCATTCAACAAATATAAACGCATTCACCCCTAAAGTTACTATATATTAGAAAACTATCTTAAAAATAATAAGAAATATTTATACATTAAAATCATAAGTATTAGGTTTAACGATTATTTTGGTATATACTATATTTTGTTAAGTGTATTTTTGGTAAGAAGAAAAGTCAAAACTGCTTCTGCTTCTGCTTTGGGGAAGAAGCTACTTTTTTCTGCTTCTTCCCAAAAACATTCTTTTCCCCCAAAAAGCTTGGCCAAACACCTCAAGTTAGAGAAAAAAATGCTTTTGAGAAAAAAAAGCACTTTTGGCTTCTTGAGAAGCTTGGCCAAACATGCTATTAGTTTGATTTTCCTTCAGAATAAGTCTTACAGTAAGTGTAAGGACAATGGTTCGTTCCTAATACTCCCTCCGTTCACTTTTACTTGGCACGTTTTGACTTTTCACGCCCCTTAAGAAATAATAAATGAAGTGTATAATTTATCATGATATCTATATTAATTGATGCATATTTTATTGGATTTGAGAAAATGATTTGAAATGAATAATAAATATTGTGGGCATAACAGAAAATTTTTTTTGTCTTCTCTTGATATGCGTAAAGTGACAAGTAAAAATAAAAATCTATTTTTAGTATGCATGTCAAGTAAAAGTGAACGGAGGGAGTATAAAACTTCCATTTCTGTTCAAACATTTTTCGTGGTAGCTAGGCAAAGTCCAAAACAGCACTATAAGGGGTCGTTTGTGATATAAACTTAGGGTCTACCAAACTGTATAGAGAACCTGATTATCTATCAGTTTCCACAGAACACACACACAACGGTAAGTAAATAACACAACAATATTTTACGTGGAAAACTCCCAGCTCATGGGATTAAAAACCACGACCTACACTCGTAGGATTTTAACTTCACTAACCGAGCAACTTTAGATTACAACCTATTGTAACCTAGGAATTAAACTCTTAATCCCTCACCTACTTGCAATAACTATATTGCAAGCCTCTTTGTAATAACTCTATTACAAAGCAACAAACCTTGACTAACTCTAGTCAAGAAACTAAACTAATCAGTGGTTTAAATCTGTCCTGCAAAGACACTTCTTGAAAGTAGTGTAGGATTACAAATGAAGAACAAATAACAAAGACTCAACAAACATAAGAACTTAAGATATCTTCAATTTTTGGATCTGGTCCTTGAGGTTGCAGCAACTTTGTTCTTGCGAGAGATGATGGCTAGCACTTGAGATAATATTGTCTTTTGATTTGTAAGTGTTGGAGCAATGAAATCCCTTGCCTCATGTTGATAATATATGTGTGTGAGGTCATTGGGATGATGTAAGCAAATATCTAGTACAAGACATGCTCCATAAAGTGACTGCTACACTGTTACGTGTGCAGTGCAACAATACAATGACTTTAACAGCTGTAAGGAGTTGACCTGTACTGTGACCGGAGGAACTGATCTCTATCTGTTCCCTCTATAGTTCCCTCAACTGATTTCATTGAGAGTTGAACCAGACATCTGACTAGTTACTCTGAATGCAAAGGAACTAATTATTTCAGGTTCCTTATCTTGTTCTCTCATAAAGTTTGTCAAATCATCAAAACAAAAGACACATAACTTATCAATTTTTTCCTTTTTGATGATGACAAACTTAGGGTTGATATTCCCCCTGAGAACCAGATCTGCACATTGTTTCCCATACGAATCATCCATATTCCCCCTGAGAACCTGTTTCCTCCCTTTCAATTTTCAAGTAACATATTTGTTGTCAGTTGATACAGCGCAATAACTTTTATAACTGTAGAGTTGATTGTACGACGACTAAGGGAACTGATCACATCTGGTCCCTATCTGGTTCCTCGAGAGCGTTTGGCAAATTATCAAAACACGAAATAGCATAACTAATCAGTTTTTCCCTTTTTGTTGATGACAAACTTAAAATTGATATTCTCCATGTTCAAACCAGATCTCCCATATTGTTCCCCCTGCAGAATAGCCATATTCCCCTTGGGAACCTTTCCCTATTTGGTTCTCATATAAAGTTTGTTAAATCATCAAAACACAAAGGCATATAACTTATCAATATTTTTCCCTTTTTGATAATGACAAACTTAGAATTGAAGTTCCTCCCTAAGAACCAGATCTCCATATTGTCCCCCATGTAGAATAGCCATATTTCTCTTGAGAACCTGTTTTCCCCTTTCAATTTTTTCCCCCTTTTTGGCATCATAAAAAGAATTAGCCAAGTAAATAAAAATAAAAAGTCCGGCAAAGTTAACTCATGCCACTTGTGTGCACACAACATAGCTAAAAACAGAACGCAAGAGTATAACATGCATTAATAGACGACGATGCTCATTAAGTTAGGGGGAAATATTGTATCAGTACCATAATTACAAACATACAAAAGTCAAACAAAACTAGAGTACCACTGTCGAAAGGGAATAACAACAACGACCCAGTAAAATTCCACTAATGAGGTCTGGGGAGGGTAGTGTGTATGTAGACCTTACCCCTACCCCGAAGGAGTAGAGAGGCTGTTTCTGAAAGACCCTCGGCTCAAAAAAATAAAAAGACAAAATGACAAAAAGGGAAGGACAAACAAAAGACATGGTAAGATTAAATAGTAGCTGGCAAAGGGGTAAGATAAGGGACACTGGATGGAGAAGGGAAGGACTAGGAAGCAAGGGCTTTGATGAGGCTGTCAATGCAAGCATTAACAACCCTTTGATCGTTGATCAGCTGCTCTTTCAGGTTCTCCACTTGGTTCCTCAACTTCACATTTTCAGCTTTTAGGCGGGCAACTTCTTCTCCATGAGCATTGCTGGAACCAGGTTCCTTACTCGCCTGATTGAGCTTAGACTCAAGAATAATATTCTGCGCCTTTAACTGCCTAATTTTCTCATTTGCAGCATTTTGGGCATCAATAACCTGAGAGATTGTTGAACTGATGCTTATTCCCCCCCTTTGTCAACATGCTCACATTCTTCCAAGGTGTTCATTGAGAACATTTGTTTACGAGTTTCCACAACTGCTCTCCCTAAGGGGACCTCAAATCATTCAAAGACTTTAGTGAGCAGGAACCCATATGGCAACCCATGACTTTCATCTTTGAAGTCTACCACTTTCTTCATGTGTTCAACTAAAATCCCAAGCAGATTAATGGGAGTGTAACCGTCCAGTGCCTCCAAAAGAAACAGGTCTGCTATAGAGGCAATGGATTGCCTTTTAGCTCTTGGTAGCAAGACCTTATTCACCAACTCGAACAAGAGTTGGTATTCTGGAAGCAGTGCCTTCTTATGCATTCGTTCCCCTTATTGAACAACTTGAGGCTTGAGAATAAACTTCCTAAACCTTGGGGAACATGTTCCCTCCACAATTAAGAGCCATTCAGCAGGCACCCCAAGAATATCCTCTAGCACAATCTCATCAATCACAAATTCTACCCCACTGATATTCAAATAGATAGTGTCACATTCCATTATGAACAAATCAATATAGAAACTGCAAACTTCCTTCTCATAGACCTTTGGACTGTGATTAGTAAAATGATGAGTCCACTCTTGGAAGTCGCAGATTTTAACCAACTGCCTCATTCCAGACTTACCCACAGAACTTTCTAATTTTTCAATTTTGCTTTCCTTTCAAGCTCAGACACATCAACTCTGGCCCTTTTTGAGGAACCGGGTTCCTCACAAGTGCTTAGCCTCTTTCTGAGTGGCCTTTTTTTCTTAGCAGTCTTCTTCTTTTTCAACTCCTTCGTCACCACCAACCCCAACAACTTTTGCAGATAGGTCATCCTCACTATCATTAAATTCTCCTGCAAACATAAACTTCATCTCAGAGTACACAACCTCCAAAGGGTCTATATCAAGGTGAGGAGAAGATGAAGGGTCAGTACTGCCCAGGGGCTATCTAGTAGAGCTTGGAGTTTCATCCTAGGTAGGAGCTGAGAACTTCTCTTGGGCAGAGGGACCAGGTCCCACTGTAGGCTCCCATGTAGTACTGACCAGTGCTTGGTCACTTTGACACACCTGGCCCCCATTTCCTCGTTCTTCCCCCTGAGT